AACACTGTTGGGATGCAACTGAAGCAAAAACAATCAAAATCACATATGGACTGTAATAATTTACTTTTGGATGTAGCTGTCAACATTTTTGAACAGACAGAAAAATAATGCAACTGAATGTTTTACATTATCTCTTTCTGAATCTTTATGTCATGTCTTATGCATGTTTCTTTTCTGTATACGTTGAAACAATTTCTCCTGTACTGTATTGATGAGTGTACATTTACACTGTCACAACGTGCTTCTTTTGTATAAAAGGATGCAGAAACAGTAACGGGTTAATTTTACTGAACTTCATATGACTTCTGCAAAAGTTTTAGGCATTGGAAAATTCAGTTTTCATTTCAAACGTGAAAAAACATATTGTTCTTTTTTGATTTTTTTTTTTTTTGCATCTACAACATTACTCAAGTATTGTTAGAGATGTGCATTTATTTATTACCTGAAATGATCTACAATTATTTATCTGTAGAAGCTACATAAGTTGATGCAAAGTACGTTAAAAAAAAAGTTAAATGTTGAAATAGCGAGTACTTCTCTTAAAATGGTACTTGTGACAATATGTGTAGTTATATATTAAAGAATATGAGTGGTGTTGGTTCAAATTTAGATTTTTATTGTATTATTGTTATTATGCATGTTGACAATCCTTGATTATGTTTTAATCCAGATAGAACCTGACATAATGGGTAAGTGCTTTTATTGTCCTACTGTTTATTGTCCAGCTTATTTATAAAACAATATACAGTATTTTAACAATTAATGTGATGTGAAGAATTTTATTTCTTTTTTAGACATTGGTGAAAATAAGAAAAATACAGATGGTAAGGCAATATTATTAATGTTATAATTTTAAATAAAATTAATGAAACAACAGTGTAGTCACTTAATTTTATTTTTGCACTTTAAAATGTGTTTATGACTAACTTTTAGTATCTTATTTCTGTTTAAAATAAATTTTATTTTATCTTAGATTTGTTACTTGATGATATTCATAAGGTAAGTTTATTAAATGGTTTATTTTATTAACAAATACATTTAAAACATCTTTTTTATTAAAATATGCAATGAAGACATGTTTTGTGCCTTAAACATTTAATGCCTTGTATATCATAGGCTCCAAACCGAAAAAGAAGCACCACACTTGGTGGGGACAAACTGTGGCCATCCCCAGTACCCTATACCTTGGATAATGGCCTTGGTAAATATCACTGTGTTTTGTAGTATTTATTTGGGTTCATTTTTATGTGGTCAGTGAATATTAAAATGATTTTAAACCATTGTGTAACGTTTAGGAAACAGTCAAGAAGATGTTGTCCCATAGGGAAAAAACATGGCAGGTTTAAGTATGAATGTTATGTGAATATATCTGAATTACACTGACCTTAAGTGTGAGTGTGTGCATGCATGGTTGTCTGTCACTCACTGGTCCTGTGATGGACCATCATCCTGTACAAGGTGCACCATGCTCCCACTAACCACTGGAAACAGACATCAGTTATCTGCACTTACACAGGATCAAGAAAGCCTAGAAAATGAATGAATTCAATAGTTTGTTACCCACTGGGCTAATAGGTAAACATTTAATGGTTGTTATAGCCTTTACAAATTAAAATCTAAGATTTTTATGTTTATTTCCACATTACAATCTTATGAACAACGGAAGAAATGAACGCCAAAGGAATCATCCTGAGAGCATTTGACCAATTCAGGATAAAGTCGTGCATTGACTTCAAAGCAAAGGACTCAGAGGATTATTACCTTTCTATCCAAAACTTAAATTGGTATGTATACTTTTTTGCTTTTACTTTAATAGGTGTCCTAAGTAATTAGCCGAGGTTGCAACAATGCACACACACACACTTGTCTATAAATGCTTTGTTGTAGTAGCCCTTTTGGCATAAAGACGTCCTCGTTCCACAACACCTGACACAGACCTTGACAATCAAGCACTTTACAGTCCATCATACATCATTTCTAAGTCTCTCGCTTCAGAGGTTGGCAGCACCAGGGTTTAAACCACTAATCTTCCATTCCAAAGTCATACAAACTGCTCGAAACAATCAGCAGATCAACGAAACAACCTCAGATAGCTCTGCCCAAACGGCTGCAGTGCTAGGAACAGCTAAGATACTAGACCGAATTCTCAAACTTCTAGGCCTCTAGAAGAGAACTTGAACTTAAAGTGAAAGGTGTGGCTGCCTATTCAAAAAAGGGTTTAAAAAGAGTTAAGCGGAGTTTAAAAAAAAATAGGAAAACAAATCACACAGCTAAACACCCAGCTAGCCCTATTTTTCCACGTGGCTGTTGTACGATCCACTTCAAGCTTGGCTTGACTGTCATAAGCCTGAAAGCTTGAAGGTTCTGTGCAATGAATTTGACGTTCCTGCTATCTCCATCTTACATCCTGCTAGTATGAGCTGGACTTCTCAGGACTCCTGTCTGACATGGTCCTCTACCTCTATTGCTCTTGTGCTGCCATGATTAATGCATCTGTGCTGTCCTTCAGTCCAGCCCTCTCTGCCGCCGATAGGTTTTGTCGTTATCAGACACTTCCTTATTCTGCCAGAAGTACATTCCACACAGAGTATTTTTTTTTTTTCATTTAGCCTTTATTTATCCAGGTTAGTCTCATTGAGCCACGAGAACTCATTTTCAAGAGAGACCTGTTTAGGGAGCACATGGTGGGGGTTAAGGGCCTTGCTCATGGGCCCAGAGTGGGGCGAATGAGGGTGGGGGCAAGTGTGGGTGTTTCACCTACCCCACCCACAATTTTGATGTTGTCGGGGCCGGGGCGTGAACCGGCGATCTTCGGATCACAAGCCCACCTCTCTAACCTCTGTGCCACCACTCCCCCTAATTATTATTAGTATTATCTTTCCAGAATGGCTCCTCTTGTTCCTCCTCTTCTACATTGGATTTCATTGGTCTGAGACATTCAGTAGTTTATCATTGGGGGCTTTTTTTCTCGATGTACTCCAGAGTCTTGGTTTTGTATGGATTCATTAAAACATGCATATAGCACATCAATTGCTGAAAACAGCTGAATAACCATGTAAAATAAAACATACAAGCAAAAATGTATCACTTATGTGTATCCTGTCTTTAAAAATGGCAGCAATTAGTTATGATACTACTTGTAAAATCACGATTTTAAATTTCTGTTAATGGCATATAAAAATGTTAGTATTGCAAAATGCTACACCTTACGTGTACATTGTATTTCGTATACAACAGGTTGTATGACAGTAGGTATTAAATGCGCTTCAGTCTTTTGCAAGTCTTTTTACCAAAGTTTTGGGAAACAATTGTTAAAAAATTTTATCAGTCTGTTGTGTTTGTTGTGCTGCGGTCACACATTTCACTCGTGATAACAAAGTGGGTTGTAATTCCATTGTCTTGATGATAAGTAAGAAAATCTAAGAAAATATTCAGTAACTACGCATTTTAAATGGTTCTACTTGTGCTTTGATTTATTTATTTATTTTTAATTAGATTTTAGGTATGAATTCTAACATTTATTCTGTTATCTTTACCGACCAGTCTTTTTTTTTTATTCTAGGTGTTGGTCTTATGTTGGCCGAGAGCTTACAAATGGACAGAACCTCTCCATTGGAGTGGGTTGTGATTACCTTGCCATTGTTGAACACGAGCTTCTTCATGCTCTTGGTTTCCACCATGAACAGTCTAGATATGACAGAGATGCCTATGTGAAGATTGTTGTAGAAAACATCTTAAAAGGTTCAACACTTTTGTTTTTAGCCTTTATATTTCATTTATACTGTATATATCAAGATGTGTGAACCACATCAATGTTTAACTACCCAGTACCGGTGACATTTACAGCAAGAATCTCCAAAGTGTTTTGAATGAACAAGATAAAATACTTTCTTACAGTTTGCCTTATACAATCTAATCAATGTTTGTGTTTTTAGCTACTACGACTCTTTAAATGTTTTCATTGCAATATTCTGTGTTGATCTTTTTGAGCTTTTGTATGTGATGTCTAGGTCATGAAGCAAATTTTGAAAGGATCAGTAGTGAAAACAGTACCACACATGGAGTCCCATATGACTACTGGTCAGTGATGCACTACGACAAAGATGCATTCAGTAATGGCAATAGCTCCACAATTATTACCACAGACCCAGAATACCAAAATGTGATTGGTCAAAAACTGGGAATGAGTTTTAGAGATGTTCAAGAATTGAACCTTCTCTACAATTGCAGTAAGTTTTATATGTATTTTTTTTTTGTTTAATTGTTGTTCATGTACCAATTTAGCATGCAATTAAAAAAAAAAAAAAAAAGTTAATGTTTTCACTTTATAAGCTACATTGTTCCTTTAATACTTAATTTTACTTTTTTTAAACAGTTTGTATAACTCCAGGCCAATACCATTTAAACTTTTACATCAAATTTTACTTGATTTTAGTCTTGACATTTAAAAAAAAGCTCACTGGGTGTCACACATACATGATCTCAAGGTATGAGCAATATGAAGGATCTTAAATTCCATTTTTTAAGATTTTGATATAAAGTATTCCTAAATAGTATTGTACTGCAGAATGTTTTCTTAATTCCATTATGTCTAGCTCAAATAAAGAGATACACCTCCTTAATAGCATTTGTTTATTAGTATTATTTTTTATCTTCGTCCCTGTGGCTGAAGGCTGTTTGAGTTTTTAGTTAATAATATTAAAAGAAATGTTAAAATTGACAGAAACTGCATATTGCTACAAGTACTTACTGATTGCTGGAAAAGATAAAAATCTTATAAACCAGAAAATAAGGATGTAAAATTATAAATTTCCACCTACGATTTAACAATTGAGACCCATAGGTTGATGATCCACTGATCAAAAACATCTGGTGCCAGTTTAAATTGGTCATGCTGACATAAATATAATTTATTTTTATTTAATTTAGGGTAGCCACATTTGACACATGATTGAGACACTGATAGTATATACTGTATGATACTTATGTTAATAAACAGTAGAAGTTTATGCCAAGGGGCTCAAGCCTGCCTATTGTTATGATTATTAATATAACAGTTTAGTTGTTTTTTTATTCAATTCACATTTAAAAACTCTAAAAATGCCCACATATCTTCATTATGAGTATTTGTCATAAGATAAATTTGGTCTGGTGTAAATGTCATAATAAAAATCCTGAAATCTTGTTCATTTCCACAGATTCAACAGTTGCCTTTATGTTTTACTGTGGCTTTTCTAATGGGACGATGTGTGAAATGAACCAGAGATCTCAAAATGGCAGTCTCTGGGAAGTGGTTACACAAGCAGATGGGGGTCCAAGTTCTGACCACACCACTCTACCCAGTGGGAAAAGAGATTCTGGTAATTATGGATTTTCATGTCCTGTTACAAAATAGTAAACAAATTGTTTTTGTTTTGCAAGTTCATATAGGACTCTCACTTCCAGAGAAATGTTTAATATTTTAAACACAATTGTCTTTTGAATTTGAAACAAATGCCTCAAAAACACATTGTTTCTTTCTTCTTGAATGCAATCAAAACCATGTTTAATGTTTTAGACATCTTGTAATTTTCTAGCAAAGTACTATTTGTTGTATTAAAATATAAAATCACCCAGAAAGGAAGTGGGAAAAGTGGATGGATGGATGGATGGATGGATGGATGGATGGATGGATGGATGG